GTTGGTTCTTACAGACTAAGGGAGAAAATGATGGACCATACGGATAGGGTCTGTCGCGGGTTGCCGATAGTAAGTCTAATACCTTCTTTGTTCATTGCGCCAATAGGATCCCTCCATATTTCTTTTGTCTTTTTTGTGTATGGTTTTATCTATCAATTTCAACATCCAGCTCGCAGTGGTGCAGAAAATGCCCGATCTGCGGACTGATTATTGAAATTTACAGACAAAACGAGAGAAGACTCAGGGAAAATGGGGCAATCCTATCTGTAGAAGTGGGTAGTTGCGATGGACAAAGGAGAAGAATAATAGACTTTCTGACGGCAAGCCACGATAAAACCGCTCCATTTTTCCTTTCTCTCTATTGTTCATTACTTTGTCTATCAGGTTCGACGATCAACCTGCCTGCTGGCGTTTCTAAGATCCCGGTAAACGTGAGGTAGATCTTCGGTTGTGTGGCGATTTTCCAAAGTAATGACTTATTCTGTGTCTCTCTATGTCTCAGGAATATGAAACATATATCGCATATTTTACCGGGTAGTCATGCATCTGCCATGAAATCGCAGATTTGGCTGTGAGAGGCAAATCGGAAACGTGCCGTGAAGCAAAAACGCCGATTGAGTCCAATTTCACGCGGAATATTACCGAATTCAATCGTAATTCCTTTTGAGAATTACACATACCTGATTTTTGATAAATTTTTTGTCGGGTAAAGAAGTAGCGTCCGGATTCCCGAACATGTTACGTTCGCGAGAAAACAATATTACTTTTTTATTTAAATTATCAGTTATTCTTCGTAAAATAAGCCTCTCTTGTAAGATTCTGAGACTTCATTCAGGGGGGAAAAACTTGGCGCACAAACTTTGCGCATAAACTGCAAGAAGATGTACTGTCGGTGCTTTTTTCATCGACTTGAGTCGATTTAAAATTGAAGACAATTGCCTTGAGAGTATCCTAACAACTAAAAACCCACGATTTTTGAATCGTTGTCTAACGCCTTTGATGGATAAATAGCAATGCTAAAATCTAAGGAATTATCGATTATAGAAGTTTTTGATAAATATTTAAAAATCGCCAGTGACCTGGCGTGATTTGCGGTATATCAGTTGATCTGCCATTTAAATCTATGGATAAGGATCGATAAACAGGGTGTTTGCAAAGAGCACTTTAATGACTGATCTTTTCCCGTAGCTTCAAAAGAGGAAATATCGATAATTGATCATTGACGCTTCGTCGATGAATCAACCCACTGATAAGCAAAACCGCGTAACTCCAAAAAACCCGGAGGTCCATACGTGTTTTTTTCGCCACGGCAGAAATCTACCACAGTTACCCGAGACTCACTAGAGGTACACGCAATACCGCACGGTGGACCGAGTCAATGGGAAATGGCGCCCATGAAAATGTTGACTAAAGCTCCATTTTGATGTCTGTTTCGCCAAATTTTAAATTTAGCGAATTTATTTTAGGGTGCTCCAAGAAGAACATTCCACGAGAGAGCCAGTTGCATCTTTTTTTAAAACTTCAACGCTATGTATAACCGGAGTCATGAGCTTTCAAAGTTTCCACATTTTGCCCGATTTCTTCAACTGACTCTACTCACTGCGCGTCGCGACGCTCAGCGTGAGATCCGAGCCGCGAAAGGTGGGGGAATGGGTGGACAGGAACACTATAAAAAGGGGGGTAATGATGGGAAAAGTAGAAAGTGAAATTACAGGGGTCGGAGTGCTTCACCGGGGGGTCGAGGGCGAGGGTGGCGCGAGCCCGCGAGGGAGGGGGTGTGCGGGGAGACAATGAACTGATCACGAGATCTATTTGACGAGCAATCTATCATTATTAATCATTCGGGGGCCGGGGCCCCCGGAGTCCGCCGGAGTACACCCTTCCATTATCATTCACTCCGTGCAATTTGAATTTGATGCATTGTTGCCGATGACGCCCTCCCCCCCCCTTCGCCCCCCGGGGCAGTACTCGAGGCGATGGTCTCGCGCCGCGAACCCAAAATAAATACAAATAAAATAGCCTGCATTTGGCGAACGAAAATCGAGTTTTCCTGGAGGAGGCCTGGCAATTTAATTTCCTTTGCAATCCCGATTGGAAAAAAATATTTTGAATCATCATTGAAATATTTCAAATGAAAATACATATTTTTTCCGTAAAAATGTCGTGACAATATTTGTATTCAAGGCTGCAATCGAGAGAAGGCACAACAGACCAGTCCACAAAGATTACATTTTCAGCTGAGTGGTATCTGTGAAGTTGGGTCAAAATATAGGATTTTTGGAGTTCCACGGGAAACTTACTCCACGGTTTGAAATGACGATGGAGGATTCCGAGTCCCGACCACATTTCTGGTTGTTGTTACGCAGTTTTCTTAGTGAAAACAAATACTTTTGGTCCTGGTTACAGTGCTGCACCATTACTGGAACTCACAAAAATGACTTTAAGACAACAACTTGAAAAAAATGCGACCTAGATTCCACGAGCACGAAAGCAACTATTCATTTGTCTTCGTATGCGTTATAGGATGAATACAATTGAAAAATTTAGAAAAAGAAGGGGTGCTAAAACGCCGCTGTTGTTTCATGTATTATGCCAAAATACTTCAGCTTTCAATCTTCCGCGGAGAAAATGAGCTGGTGCAATAATACCATAGAAATAATGCAATTGACTTGCGGAAACATACGTAGCTTAATGACAGAAACTGAAAAGACAAATACGAAAAATTAAAAACAGAAGATATCTCGACACAAAATGGTTGATAAAGTAGAAAATGTGTGAAAGAAGATGAATGCTAGTGCCATTTAATCCTCCACGATAGTAGATACTGGGAAGATGCTCAAAAACTGCATTTCTGTGGTGACGGTGACGCAACAGCCGCCCTTGAGGCCCAAACCTGGCTTATTTCAACTCTAGAATTTTTTGACAGGAAATTATACAGATCTTCATTCACCAAAAACGATCGCTTAGACGAAGTAATCGAATCCCTTGAGTAGGCTATATTGCAGTTAACACGGGTCTGACAGTTGAAGAAGGACCATACCTCTGTTTCTTACGTTCTCCCCTGAGTTCTCCACCCCCCCCCCCCNATTATCTGGGTCTCAAGCAACCCTTCTCACTCAGAATGTTTTTCCGAGTGACAAAACGGACGCACGGCAACAGAGTTGTCGAAATCGGAGTCAGCTTTGACGGCGACGACTTTTGAAAAATGTGTTTTGCCCGCCGCCCGCCGCCCGCCGCCCGCGTCCGAGCCAGCCGCAGCGACATTCCATCGGAGTCGCGATCGAAAATTCACGACTGTCACGCCCTCTCCTCGGCCCCCTTCGGCCCCCTCCCCGGCCCCCTTCGACCCCGAGGCGAGACCGACGCTAATGAAATAAATCATAAATCCGCCGATGACCTGCCCCACCGTCCCATGTTTACCCCGGTGTCAAATCAATCTCCAACACGGGCTTCCAACCGTTAATAGTCCACCCGCCCTCCCGTCCCATGGCAAATACAAGGAGGATACCAAGAAAACATTTTCACTCATATCACCAGAGAAATAACGACCGGTTTCTTTCCGTGTCACCCGTGTCATCATTCCGTCTTCCGTTTCCGGAAGGGTGTGATTCTGTCTTTGAAAAACGAACCGATACTCAACTCGAAGACCACGCTGGGGAATCTGATTGGATCGCGTTGAGTAGAAAGGAATCAAGCCACATCAGCTATTTCACAACAATAATTAAATAATTAAAATAAAAAATTACTAAAATAACTACCAATAACGACTAAAATAATTAAATTTTAGGTTACGCGGATTTTTTAGCAAATTTCAGTAATTTGTCTGCATTGTACGGAGCAAATTCTTTAAAATTTTCAAAGAAATCCGCAAAAACGTTCTCTTGTGAAAAATTACATTGCCCAGTAGAATTTGGCAATAGCTGATGTGGCTCGGTTCTTTAAACGTGGTCCAATCGTTAATGGGAACTTTCCCAGTTAGAATCTACTTTCACCGGAGACTTTGACAAAATGCTCACACAAGGGTGCGTATGTGCACGTTCATTTCTCACACTCTCAATAGTCACCGGGAACTTTCCCGATGAGATGGTCCCTGTAGGAACTGCCCTTGAAGTTCGGAAATAAAGAAGCTCAATTTCAAAATTCGAGCAACTAAAACTTGAACTCTAGGCATGACCTTAAGGAGCTCTGAGTTGCACGAGTCAATGCACGAAATGCAACTATTCGAACTCAGGTGTATGCCGCAGTATCATTCCTAAGTGAAGGCGTTTTTAGCGCGGAGCATTTACTTGCTCAATGCCTGCGATACCGGAATTGAACCCCCCCCCCCTCCATCTAAAAATTTACATTGCTTGCAGTTTGTTTTCTATCGTTTGTTATACGGTTTGTGGCGACAAAGCATTGTCATCTCTTGAATGGAATGCATTTTCAGAGCGGGTCGTATTTATAGTCATTTTCTTGAGAGGCCCCCTACGCTTAACATTATTATTGAAGGAGGTTCAAGGGAATCTTTGACATAGCAATATGTATACGAAAAAACTTTCAGTAAAATTAAGCATTTTAAATTTGGAGGCGGATCTTTGCAAGGAATTACGACGATTTGCCAATCGTCACTGCTATAAGTGCAATATGCGAAAAGAAAACTCCAGGAGATCTTTATCCTACCATTAAATGTAAGACGAGTTTTATTAACAACGAGAAGAAACGACTTAATCGGCCCGAAACACTAACAAAGAAACAACTTAAATCGGAACTAAGGTCGCAAATAATAAAAAGAAACACATAAAATAAAATAAAAAGCCCGGGACGTTTCGCAGGGATCATACCCGCATTTTCAACCGGCAAAACGAAGAAAATTGAAATAAGGAC